CATGCTGCCTACTTTTGTATGGCCCATTAGTTATGAATGGTTGAAAAATTACTATTCTTTTTAAAGTGGTGGAAAATTTTCCTTTTTAAAAGAATAATATTTTGTGGCACCTGAAAACTATATGAAATATAGATTTCAGTGTCCAGAAATAAAGTTTATTGGAACACAGTATGTGTATTTGATTACTTACTATCAATTACTGCTTTCACACTACAGTGGCAGGGTTGAATAGTTGAAGCAGACTGTATATTCCACAGAACCTTAAATATATTGTACTGAATCTTTTATAGGAGGAGCTTGCTGAGCCGTGGTCTACGTTTGTGGGCCTCTCTACTTCTGACTCTAATGTTTAGTGCCATCATCCTTCACCCACAATGCTCACTCCCATCTACAGGTGTTTTTATAAACTTCCTTTGCCTGGAACTCACCCCCAGCACATCTTGCGATCGCCTAACTCTTACTTATCTCTCAGATACCAGTTCCAATTTCATTTCTTTGAGAAAGCTATCTCAGAACGCTACAGTTTGGATGAGGTACCCCCTGTCCTTTCTGTCACCCTCCTCATGTATGTCCATATCCTCGTTTCTCACCATACTCACCTCAGACTCTATGGTCAGTTATTATCTGCAGCGTCTTTGCTATAACCACCTCCTTCATCCCTCACGCCTTCCACTGTTCTCTCTTAGAACACCAACCTGGTTAAGGGCAACTCTTTCAACCAGGCACAGAGCAGTGGAATGCGGAAGGTAAGAAACACATAGCCCCACCACACGGCATTGCTTTAAATGTATGACCATGGGCTTCAGGGTTCCCAGGCTGCTCCCAAGTCCTGCACCTTACCCTAGTCCACTTGCTGTCTGTCCTCCTAGCTAGCTCCATTGTCCTCCTTGTGCCTCCTGATATCCTTCACCACTCCTCACTCTCCACATATCTTACTTCATTTTTCACTTAGAAAAGAGAAGCAGTTGAACATTCACTTCTACATTGTATTGTGAGATCCATCAGCCTCACTACCTCTGTATCTAATCCTCAGCCCAACCTTTTCTATTAAACTAGAGCTCATCCCTTGGCACCTAAACAAGAACACCCTCTAGCCATTTTTTCCTCTCACTCTCCTGTTCTAACATTTTGCAATCTCTTCTAGGTCATCTCCATACACATATAAAAATACTATGCTACCATTAATCTTTTTAAAATATTAGGAGACTTTCTTGATGCCAGAGCCTCATTTTTCTGCTTTTGTCACAGTCATTTCTCTGCTGTTTGTCAAACACTCCAAGCAAGCTTCTGCCTCAGAAACATTGTACATGCTGCCCGCTTTCCTGAAGTGATATATTCCAGATATTTACATAGCTCACTCCCTCATTTCATTAAGGTCCCTGCTCAAACATTACCTCCTCAGAGGCCTTTCGTGGCCATCATATCCAAATAGGCTTTCTCTCTGTCATGCCCTCCCGTTGTCCTAATATATTTTTCTTCCTGGCATGTATCACCACTTGAGATGTATTTATTTATTTATTTGCTATTTTCCCATAAAAATGATGGCTTTTTGATGACGGGTACTTTGTCACCTGTGTTCACTGCTGTGTCTTAGCTCCCAGCACCATGTCCACTGTTTAAACACTTGTTGAATGTGTAAGTAAAGGAGGTGTATCAGGCTTCAACTTTTATTGATTCTGGGGACTCAGTATCACCAAAGCCCTGATTTTCCTTCTCTGCTTGGACTTCAGTGGTGACAGCTTCATTTTAAAACTGGTTTCCCTCATGGTGGAAAAGGACTGTAGCAGTTCCAAACATCATATCTATACCCTATATACCTGGGCTTGGCAAAACTATCTGTAAAAAGCCACATAGAAAATATTTTGGGCTTTGCAGGCCATACAATCCCTGTTACACTTATTCAGTTCTGCCATTGTGCCATGAAAACAACCATAGACAAATTTGTAAACAAATGAGTGTAACTGTATTCCAATAAAATTATTTACAAAACCAAGCAGCAGGCCACATTTAGTCCTGAGGCTGTAGTTTGTTGACCCCTGCCCTATACCATCCAAAAAGAGCAAGTGTCTTTTCTAGTAGCTCTCTCAGAAGAACAAGGGGCCTTTGTTTTCCAAAATTTCCAACAATCCTCCCCTTTTAGCATGTTACCCTGAATTTTGTCTAATGCCTGTTAATGAACCAATTCATACAGTAAGTGGTGTGAGAATGTCACACTGGTATAGAGTTTTCATGGCCCAGTCTGAAGCTACAGGTGGAAGGAAGTTCATGGGTTGCATGAGGCCAAAAATGTACACAATCAGGAAAGGGACAGGAGAATGGATGCTGGGTAGGTACCAAATAAGATACACCGTGTAGAACTGATCACAGTATATTACAGTATGTTTAACTGTTGCCCTCCTAGAATAGAATGTAAGACTGTTAAAGTGAGGTACCACACTGTTTGATTATTAGTAACCTTAGCTTACACCTTGTTACAGGGTTCGAATTCAATTAAATTGAAAGTGGCCAGAATCCTTGCTTATGGAAATTACTATATATATTTTTTTGGTTTTATAAGGATTTAATAATATAAATGCATGTTATCAGTCACATAAATGACAGGAAAAATTATTTGAAAATATTCAAACTTTTTTCATTGTTCCCCCTCTTCCCCGCCTTAAGGTTCACAAAAAGGATTCTGGCTTTTGGCGAGATTTCGGGTTTGGAATGACTTGTCAGTATCGATCAGATTTCCTGACTGTTGGTAAGTATACCTTACATTTAAAGATAGAACTTTACCTATTTACTGTATTACCTCATGGAATTTTTCTAAAAGGTCTCAGGTTTGAGTGTTTTCCTATTATTAATGTCTGAAGTTAACTGAAAAGGAGTCTGGGAATATGAAAGGCAAGGTGAGTTTATAATTACTGTCTTTGAATAACAAAAATTAAGTCATAAAGATAAAATAAAAGTGTAGTATGTTTCTTTAAAATCAGAACACTAGTTTTTACAAACATCTGTGTGAGTTGTTACCCATATTTGCAGTAGATTTGAGTTCTCTTACAGAAGATCTTTACGTAATTTTGGTATTGTACTCATGGATTTTTACAGCAGGAAGTAATATTAAGTTATCAAGTCCAAGGGCTTTCATGTTTTTTATTTAGAGATGAAACCCCCTTTAATTGTTTATTGAACTATTATACAAGATTCCAGTATTTAAAACAAATGGAAAAATAGCTGCTCCCTTTCTAGCTCTGATTGAAGTTGGAGCAGGGAACTTGAGGTCACTGGCTTTGTCTTCCACTCCTCTAAACCAGAGAAGACCATGAAGAATGGTCTTAGCTTCTTGGATCCATTCTTAGCCAACAGAAAATAAAGCATCAGAGCATAGTTCTTGCCTCCTCCCACGACTGCATCAAAATTACAAGTAAATTACAGAACAACCATCCTTGAGAACTACCTGAAGCCTAACTGAACAGAAGCCCTATAACTAAGGGTATAAAGGGGTGGGGATGAGAAACTGGACTAGTCCCACACCTATGTACGGTAGCTAAGAATCAGGAGGTGTATGTTGGCTACAGAGGTTCCAGCCGAGGAGCAAGGGGTCCCAGTCCCACACTGGGCTCCCCAGCCCAGACCACCAGTGCTGAGAAGAGGAGTCCCCACAACATCTAGCTGTGAAAATCAGTGGGGATTCTGTCTAGGTGAGATGGAGGGCTGCTGGAGTACCAGGTATTCTTAGAGGGTCCATGTACAGACATACTAACTAATGGACTCTCACTCTGGGCACCATGTGCTGGAGCAGAAGCTTGAAAAAGCCCAGGGACAAATGAGAAGGAACTGAATTATCTGGCTTTGAGATGAGCTCTGGAAGGGCAGCTCCATTGTTCCTTTGTTGAGCCTTCCACCACCCAGCCTGTAGGTGCAGGCAGGCACCAAATCTGAGTCTCCATTGAACTGGCTAATACCACTCACTCCATCCTGGGGATTTCTTGAGAACCTTCCCCACCTAACTTGTGCACAAGCTCAAACTTCTTTCATTGGCTGTTTCTCACAAACTGCCAGCCTGGGCCCAAGCTATAGATTCCCTAAAATCTCTGAAAGGTTCACAAACCCCAAATAACCAGTGGCTGGCCTCAGTGTGCCCTGTACCTCTTGCTAAGCAGCCCTTAGCCTGGTTGTAGTGGCAGCTGACCTCAATTCAGAGCATAGCCACTCCCAGGTGCCTCCAAATCCAGCACAGGCAGCTGCCTACTACAGATCATTCTGTAGCTTCTACCAGGTGGCCCCAGGCCAGGCGCAGGCAGCAGCCCCTCCCAAAATGCCCCAGACCCAGTGGCCAGCTTCAGACCATACTAGAGCACCACCCAGTTAGCTCCATATGTGACACCCAAAGTGTGGACTCAGCAGGCACCAGAGCCCCGCTACAGCAAATCCCACTCCAGCGGGGCCAGCCTCCAAACAACAGCTCATCCATTGCAGTTACAGCCAGTCCTCACAGCCAGTCAGCCGGAGAGTCAGCCCTACCCACTGACATGCCAGTAGCAATCAAGGCTCAACTAAAATGGGCGGGCACACACAACCCACACAAGAGGACACTCCTAGAATAGCTGGTGACAAGGATGGCTGTTCCCCCAGATCCCACAGATGACAAAGATGACTGTTCCCCCAGACCCCACAGGTGACAAGGATGACTGTTCCCCCAGACCCCACAGGACACCTACTACATAAATACATAAGGCCACCCTGCCAAGACTAGGAGACATAGCAGATCTACCTAATACCAAGAAACAGACAGACAGGCAGCCAAAATGAAGAGACAAACATGTATCAAATGAAAACAGGACAAAACTCAAGAAAAACCACTAAACAAAATGGAGGCAAGCAATCTACAGATACAGAGTTCAAAACACTGATTATAAGGATGCTCAGTGAACTTAGGAAAAGAATAGATGAACTCACTGCGAATTTACACAGAAATAGAAACCATAAAAAAGAACCAGTCTGAAATGAAGGCTACAATAACCAAAATGAATATATTAGATGGAATCAACATCAGTTTAGATGAAGCAGAGGGTCAAATCAGTGATTTGGAAGACAAAGCAAAAAGAAAACAATTTTTAAAAATGAGGATAGTTTAAGGGATCTCTGAGACAACATTAAGTATAACAACATTCACATCATAGGGGTACCAGAAAGAGAAGAGAGCAAGAAATTGAAAATCTGTTTCAAGAAATAATGACTGAAAACTTACCTAACTTGTCAAATGAAATAGACATACAAGTCCAAGAAGTGCAGAGAGTCTTAAAGAAGATGAACCCAAACCTACACCAAAACATGTCGTAATTCAAATACCAAAGGTTGAAGACAATCAGAAAAGCAGCAAGAGAAAAGCAGTTATCTATAAGTCGGCTCCATAAGACTGACAGCTGATTTCTACACAGAAACTTTGCAGGCCAGAAGGGATTGGCACAAAGTACTCAAAAGTGATGAAAAGCAAGGACCTATACCCAAGATTAACTCTCCTCAACAAGGCTATCATTTAGAATCTAAGGAGAGGTAAAAGAGTGCCTTGGGCCAGAAAAAGCTAAAGTAGTTCCTCACCACCAAAGCAGAATCACAAGAAATGTGTTTTGTTTTTTAATTTAAAGAGAGTTTACTTTTTTATTAAATTTATTGGGTGGCATTGGTTAATAAAATTATATAGGTTTTAAGTGTATAATTCAGTAATCATATGTATATTGTATTGTGTGTTCACCACCCAAAGTTAAATTTTCTTCCATTATCTTTTATTTGACCCGCTTTACCCTTATCTACCTCCCCTGCCCCTTCCCTTCGGTAAACACTAAGCTGTTGCTTATGTCCATGAGTCTCTGTTTGGCTTGTTTGTTGCTTTCAATTTCATATCTCACATGTGATGAAATCATATGGTTCTCAACTTTTTCTGTTTGACTTTTTTTTTTTGCTTAGGTTGATAATCTCAAGATCCATCCATATTGTTGCAAATGGTAGTATTTCATCTTTTCTGAGTAATATTTCATACTATTTCATAATATTTCATATGACTGAGTGATATTTCATTGCATACATGGACCACATCTTCTTTATCCAGTCATCTGTCAAAGGGCACTTCAGTTGTTTTCATGTAGTCACCATGAATAATGCTGCAATGAACATTAGAGTGCATATATCCTTATAGATAAATGTTTTCAAAGTTTTGGGGTAGCTACCCAGAATAGGGATTGCTGGGTCATATGGTAATGCTATTCTTAATTTTTCAAGTAACCTCCATATTCTTTTCCATAGTGGCTATACCAGTTTACTCTCACCAACAGTATATGAGAGTTCCTTTTTTTCCACAATCTCTCCAACACTTGTTATTACTTAACTTGTTGGTAACAGCCATTCTTACTGGTGCAGGTAGTATCTCATTGTGGTTTTTATTTGCATTTCCCTAATTAATATCTAATGAAGTTGAGCATCTTTTCATATGTCTCTTTGTTATTTGTATGTCTTCTTGGGAGAATGTCTGTTCAGGTCCTCTGCCCATTTTTCAGTGGGATTGTTTATTTTTTTTGTCGTTGAGTTGTATGACTTCTTTGTATACTTTAGATATTAGCCCCTTATTGGAGGCGTTGTTTGCAAATATCTTCTCCTTCAGTTGGTTGCCTCTTTGTTTTGTTGATTTCTTTTGCCATGCAGAAGCTTTTTATTTTTATATAGTCACATTTGTTTATTTTCACTTTCACTTCCCTTGCCTTTGAGGTCATATTCATAAAATCCTCTCTAAATCCAAGGTCCATGAGTTTAGTACCCATGTTTTCTTCTATGCAATTTATTGTTTCAGGTCTTATGTTTAGGTCTTTGATCCATTTGAGTTAATATCGAGTATGGTAACAAATAGCAGTCTAGTTTCATTCTTTAGCATGTGGCTTTCCAATTTTCCCAGCAACATATTGAAAAGGCTTTCTTTTTCTCTACTGTATGTTTTTGGCTCATTTTTTGAAAATTATTTTCCCATATTTATGGGGTATTTTTTCTGGGCTCTCAATTCTGTTCCATTGGTCTGTTTTTCTGCCAATACCATACTGGTTTGGTTATTGTTGCTTCATAATATAATTTGAAGTCAGGCAGTGTGATACCTTCAGCCTTGTTCTTTTTTCTCTGGATTGCTTTGGCTCTTCGGAGTCTTGTGTGTTCTCATACAAATCTGATAATTTTTTGTTCTATTTCTTTAAAAACTGCCGTTGGGATTTTGATGGGGATTGCATTAAATCTGTATATTGCTTTGGGTAATAAAGCAATTTTTACTAAGTTAATTCATACAACCCATGAACACGGAATCTTTTCTCATTTGTGTTTTCTTCAATTTCTTTTAATAATGTCTTATACTTTTCAGTATATACATCTTTCACATGCTTTGTTAGGTTTATTAGTAGGTATTTTATTCTTTTTGTTGCAATTGCAACAGGCATTATTTTTTTAAATTTCTTTTTCTGAAATTTCATTGTTAATGTATAGAAACATGGATTTTTGTACATTGATTCGTATCTGCAACTTTACTGTATCTGTTTATTGTTTCTAATAGTTTGTTTTTGGGGGTGGAGTCTTCTGGGGTTTCTATATACATAATCATGTCATCTGTAAACAGGGAGAATTTGACTTCTTTGTTCCCAATTTGGATACCTTTTATTTCTTCCTCTTTTGTCTGATTGCTCTGTGACTTCCAACACTATATTGAATAAGAGTGGTAAGAGCAGAGAG